GGGGGGGGGGGGGGGGGGGGGGGGGGGGGGGGGGGGTGAGTCAGTGGAATACACGACACAGTCTCAGTGGATCCTCTCTGTTAATCCAACACACTGTCTTTATTTTCCTTGATTGTCTCTCAGATTTCTGAGTTTTTTTTTGTTTGATTTGCTGCATACTTTAATGATGAGCATTGTCAGCCGATTACATAATTCCTCCTTGTATCGTAAAGAAGAAGCAGGAGGGGAAAAAAAAGCCTCGGCTTTTAAGTCTGTGAGTGAGATGTCGACTCGCCTTCCACGAGAGTCTCGTCTGATCATCTCCGTAGGCCATCTCTTTAGTTTGAAATGCAAATGCAAACTCAAAACAGACTTGTTAGGAAGAGAAATCCCCCCCTTCAAAACCGATCTGAAACGGGAAACAAAGCCAACTTTTATCTATTCATCTGCTGGATTTCTGATTCGGAGTTTGACTCTATTGTGTTTTAAACTTTTATCGATGTAGATGGAGCATAGAGATCTCCATCCAAGCTAATGGTATCAACGTTGTTTTGAAGGTGAGACTTGGAGGGGATTTTTTGCATTCATTCATTAAATTGCAAAACAACTCATTTGTTTTAGATAAACAGAGTTCAGTCAGATGATATGTCTAAGAATGCAATTATGGCTGGCTGTGCAATTAACAGCATGTAATCAAACTGTAATATGTCAGCGATCTTTCGGAGTTAATCATGTTATTAAATAGAGGGGGATTATGGGTGATGCATCCTGATGGAGACTCTGGGACGGCATCCTCTGAAAGGCACATTTGCTCTAACAAAGGCTAAGACGGACCACGGGAATCACACACAAACACACACACACACATTTATTTTCATTAGACTGAGTGTTTCCCAATCTGTCATTTTGATTTTCATTTCATCCACATTTTGCTTTGTTTACTTTTTCCTCTTTTCTTATGCAGCAACCCTCCCACCCCCCCTTACACACACACACACACACACACATATACACACATACACTGCCCCCTTTAGTAATCCATGGGGGAAAACATGGAATTAGTTTGTAAAGCGTGATAATAATGCATGGCCATAATAACTTGACTCAAGAGGATTAGCAAACGCGCATTGTCTGAAGCGGCAGTCTCTTGGGTGATCAGCTGGTTGCCTCCCTAAACAGTGGCTGCCTCTCCCAATTAAAAATTCCGTCTAGCCTGCCTCTTCAAATGATTAATTCTGCCCGCGCTGTCGATGGCCTGCCAATTATTGTCGCCAAACGGGTATTAATAGGTGGCGGATTTCCTGATGTTGACTGTGAAATCTGCGGAAGCTCGTGCTTAAAGCACACAGGGCACACATCCTCAAACATTTATGCACATGCATATATGCAGGGCCCCATGCTCCTCTTACTTTTTAAGTCGTTTTTTTTCTTTTTTTCTTTATAAACGAGCATCTCTCGTTTGAAAAAAGAGGATGCGTTTATGGAAAAGCAACCATCTTTAGGACAGACTGTGCTCTCGGTCCGGTCGGAGAAAAAAAAGAAAAAAGGGATTCAAATAGTAGACGGTGCAGACAAACAAACCCTTCGCCGCCTCAATCTGCCCGCCAGGCCAGCCCTCATATCAATATTAAGCTTGTGTCGGCTATCTCTCCGTTAATGCATTTATAAATGGAGATATTGCCGTAGACCCCAGTCAAGCAGAAGCATATTAAATCGCGAAATAATCTGATGAAATATTTATTCAAGTTTTTATTTCTTCCCCCCCCTTTCGTGCTCGTGTGATGGATAGGTTTTTTCTCTGCGAGTTGTGCTCTCGCTAAAGAGGAGAAAGAGGAGGACGCCAGAGTGGCTGGCCGAGTATTTGCACGAAAATAAAGAAGAAATTAAAGATTATGTATTCATCGATTGGAGTTTTTTAGCCCATAAGTTGAGATATTGATCAAACTAATCTCTGTTTTGTTGAAGCAACTTTCTCCTCTTTGATATGAAGAGTCACCTACATGTTTTTAGATAGAGTAAAGACAGGTGAGAGATCATGTTAGGAGACAGATTTACAGAAAACAAAACCAAAATATAGGTGGTACATCATCAGGATATCACAGGCTTTTGGAAAGCAGAGTTTAACAAGCATCAGAGTAATATTTTATTCCTATTCATAAGAGTACGGGCATTAAACGGGAGCAAAAGCAGCTCCCCGTCTAGTTGACGTTTTGTGCAACGATCCGATTTAACAAATCTGCATTAAAAAAGATTCCGTCGGGGTCCGTGAAGCAAAGGCCACCGAGCCGATCTCACGCAGCCAAAAAACACCGGCCCCGCAATCTTTAAACGTCTGTAAATATTGTAATAAGCAACAGGGCTTTCCTCATAAAATATGCAGCAGTTCAACTGGTACTGACAGGCGCTGTGGGCCCTGACTCCGGGATGGGGAGAGCTGCCTCCTCCTCCTCCTCTCTCCTTCTTCTTCTGCTGCTTTTCCCAGGAAGGTTGGTAATCTGGGATAGGGAGGAGGCTGGAGGTTAGCATCCGCGCGCCAGACTCACCTGACTGTTATCCTGTCTTCACCGCTTCCATTCTCCCCTAATCCCCGCCCGAGAGGGCCTTTCAGATGGATTGATTTCCTGCTCCGATGCAACATTTATTACGGCTCGCGCCATATAATGCTTTCGGTGTGTTTGGAAGTGCGCGTGTTCGGTGACTTTTGGGCCGTGTTTTTGGCCTGGAGCGGGGGCCGACGGGGTCGGTAAACCGGAAGGAAATGATGCACATCTGTGCTGCTTATTTGGTTCAGTATATATGTATATATGTACAGACATGTATATATACGTATATGCCTTTGTTTTACTTATGGAGCCTGTAGCAACAATAATTTCCCTCTGGGATTATTAAAGTATTTCTGATTCTGATTCTGATTCTGATTCTGATTCAGTCAAATCCGGTTATTTGGAGCTTTGTTTTAAAGTCAAAGGTAAAATTGGGTGCGATTACTGCACCCCAAAAGGATTTATCGATGTAGCTGTTCTTAAAGAGATTCATAGTATCTTATGAGTGGCGGTCAGTGTGTTTTGGGTTTGTTGAACCAGACAGGTGAGTTAGCCATGGTAACGCAGCATCACGCTCGTGGAGGAATGTTGCTTGGCAACACAGATGTTTTTTTGTTTTTTTTTGCCAAACAGTGAAAGCCATCTGAAGCAAAAAAAGAGATGCCGGTTAAAGATCCACCACACTGCATTTTGCTCAAACAGCTATGAAATACTCGAGGTTTAATTTTTCGCTCCTATTTTGGGATGGCGAAAGTGGCTGTTAGCTCGGCTCTGCTGTTGGCCCCCCCGCCCTGCTTCCACCAAATGGAGAGCACTGATCTCTGTCTACAGCAGGTAAAACACAACCAGCTGCTATTCGAAACGAAACATCCCACTGGTTCCGTAGCCCGGTTGTTTTTTTGGGGATGTAATTCACGCAGTAACGGACGTGAGTCTGAATCTGCCGACGTTTAGCCTCGCTCGTAATGGCCTTGCTTTTATGTTTTGTGCCTCAGTGATGTTTTTTGTGCGTTCTTATTCCGCGCACATCACATTTCTTTTTCTAAGAGGGAGCGTTTGCAGAAGCATACCACTCTCGCTCGTGCACAAAGGTCACGGCTATTTTCTGGCTCTAAACATAGGGATAGAAGCACATCTATTTTGTATGGGTGGCTTTGCAAGAGAGTGCCATTGCCTTCAGAGCAAAGTGTGCTCTTATGACGGGGGGTTATAAAGGCAGAGAGAAAAAAAAGGTATGGAGCGAGGAGGGAGGGGATTGGTGG